CGGCCTTTCCTCCTCCGAGTCGTCTCATCCCTTGATCACACTGCTCCAACAAGTTTGTTCCCAAACATGTCATTCCTTTAGGACAGTCTTATTGTCCCTATCCACAGCTGTTCCCAAGCCCAAGCCTTCCAAATGGGCCTTGGTCACCAAACTGGTGATCAAGAACAGTACTAGTACAAGTGGTCAAGCTCGGACAGGACACAGAAACGAATTCCAGATGATGGACGAAGAACTGCGAAGATTCAGCTTAGCAGAAGAGATAAAGAAGGATCGGATCAAGTCTATGATCACCAACTTGGATCACGTAGATGTTGCGGTTGAAGATCTGGAGGAGTCGCTCGAAAGATTGTACAGGCGTATGATCCAAGCTAGAGTTTCTCTATTGAACATACTCTCTTTGCATATATAATTAACTCATTAATTATTCCATGTATGTATACAACATCATCCAAATTTTAGAGGAAACATGTTACCTTCATAGATTTTGGACACTGAAACAATGGAGGTAATTGTGTATAAAACTATAAATGAAAACTTAGCAGCAGCGACATTTCAACATATCGATGCAAGTGTAGGGTCTTGATCTATCCTCGAGTTCAAACGCAGTGGGGAGTGAGTCTAGATTATAATTTCCGCAACAGACGTTGTATAGGTTCCTCCGAATTCCTCTGCTAAAAGGATGCACTCGTTCCGGAATATTCCTGCAAACCCAACAGCTTTAGTATCACGCAAACAAACCTGATATTATTTCTAGGTTATAGAAAACGGGTTGAATACCTCATGTATGGAATACGTCTTCGTCTCACAAGTTCATAAGTGCTTTGATTTGTCAGAATTAGATAGCTGCAAGAAATCAGTTTTCAAATAGAAACAGAGGCAGTTAGACAAAAAAAAAAAGATAGGAGATTGTGAAATATAACACAAAATGTGAACACCCACCTGTGAAAAATCAATAGAAGCATCACAAAAATCAAAGAGATCGCCAATATGACAAGCAGTAGTATGATAATTGCATTCTTCCACCTGTTCACATTTCCATTAGAAATTCATGTTTTAACAAGTTGGAGCTGCTAAAGGGCCTGAGAATAAATTGGCCACTAGAAAGTATCATACCAAGGCTTTGCTACGTTACTCAGGTAGTCAACATACATGATGAGCGTCCAGATGCATAGAGTTGTCTCTTCACAAATGTACCACCTGGTATCACAAAACGCGTTACTGGGGTCTGAAAAACAAAAAGTCTGATGCATAACAGTACCGAGTTATTGGACAATAAAACTGTACGACTTCAGCTTTTGCAGACTTACCAGAATTTACAATGGTTTTTCTGGCCTATACATGTTCCTAACCAAACACAGTGATGATCAAACTGAAGAACACATCGATCACAATCATGACAATGTTTGGTTCGTGGAGGCTGCAAAGCATTACATGTTTCGAGAGAAAGATTTAGAGAGGGGAAACTTGAACAAACAAGTAAAAAAACAAGCTAAACGAACAACTACAGTGGCGATTTGAATCATACAAGATTCAAATGTTACCTGCTCCACATGACAGTAGCCACATGTCAAATTTCTGCAAGTCATAAACTGAACAATTCAGAACACTCTTTTCTACTAACAATTACAACTTATAATAAGCTGATTCTTCAGGATTCACACAATAGAAAGCCTTGATTGAAGTTTATATGTACCTTATAGATGTCCCTGGAGGGTACAAGTCCAGAACCAACTTCCCCCAGGGCGTTGGAGTCCTTCTAGCACATGAGGCTGATCCTCCTTCCACATTAACAACAACGCTCTCACTTTTTCTGGAAGCATGTTGTCTTCGCTTAAATAATAACAAAAGTATAAACACAACAGTGAGACACATTTATGTAGAATTCACTTCCATCACTTTGATAAGAATCAAGTAACCAAACTGTATTTCTGATCACTGAATTACAATCAAGAACCCTAACTACCTTGGAAAAATGTTGTAAAGCTCTCCTAACCCTCCAATATCCAAATTCCAAAAGGCTCTCTCACTAACCAAACGATCAAAAGATTCTTACTTTCCTATCCCTCCCCTATCACACTTGTTCCATCAAACTTCATAGAGTTTTGCCATTAGAAGAAGGAAAGAACAATTCTTACATTGAGCAGGCAAGTGGGTTTCTATACATTGCACTAGTCTCGCAAACATCCCTCATTGCATCAACAACATACCTAAAAGACAACAAAGAAGCAAAAAGAAGATCAAGTACCCATTTTTTTAGTTGCAGAATCAAACTGAACACACATTTAGGCAATAGATAGTTAGATATACCCAGGTGAAGAGCCAGAAGTTACAAAATACTGCAGAAGAGTGGCGGAAAACAGCAATAAATAACAGCCCATGTACCTGTTAGAGAAAGAATCACAGAGTAATAAACATTAAGCTCAAGGATACAGTAATTGAATAAGCAGAGAGAGAGAGAGATGAGTAATTACCATGGATCTCGTTTAGTCTTCTCAATAAAATCTGCATCGAAAAAGAAGAGAAAGCCGATAAAGACGAGGTGGAGAACCACTAGTGCTAATTTCAAAAGCAGAGAAGATCTTCGAACTGGGTAGATGAAGAAAACAGCAATTAGTTAGTGAATCAGAAGAATCTAATGAAACACGGATCGTGAGATAGAATTAGGGTTAAAAAGAGAGGAAATTTGGTACCAGGATCGGAGAGACAAGGAAGGTTGATGAGAAATTGGTTACGAGCTCGATCCCAGGGTTGAAGGAAAGGGCAACAAACGCCCATGGTTTGACTTTCTTTCTCTCAAGCAAACATTGGGATTGGAGAAGAAGAAGAGACTGTGAAGGAATCGCGAAAGAAGCCAAAAAGAAGATCTTCAAAATTCAATCTTTGAAGATAGTTTATGGAGATGTAATAGAAAGAGAGAAAGACAGAGTAGGTTCGATTAATTAGTCATTATTGCATAATTAGTCATGTAATTACTGTTTTAGTTGAAAACTCGCAACAAGGCAATGGAAGATGAAGCAGTAGGGAAGATAAGACTTTAGATGGGCCTTTTTTGAAAGCCCAATAATAATTGGGTTTAACTGTACAATATTATCAAGTTGTGGGCTTTAAGGCTTTATTGATTGAAGAAAGATAGGAGACGTGTAAAAAATGATGATACTCAAAATAGGACTTCCAACATAAACATTTATCATATCAGAAAAAGTCTCTACATATGTCAGAAATTTTCAAAAGTTAATTAAGGTAAAAAAAAGGACATTTAATTTCTTAACAGTGTTGTAAGTTTATCATAGAGTACGATTTTTTTTTTTTTTTTTTTACTAAGAAGAATACATCTACACTTCTGGTTTACCGGATTCGACAAGAGGCTCTAACCATATTAATGCACAATTGCTAATCCACGGATCAAAAGACGCAAAGGTAAGAGTATGATGAACTATTCTTCCGTTGCGCGATTACATTCATATTGTCTAAATTGAATAGAGAAATGATCAAAGAACTTCATCAAAGAGTGAATGTTTTTGTCGGTAGGATTGTAGTGGAGGTCATTGGTATATTATAGAGTACCACAATACAAATGACCTTATTTTATTTTATTTTTGAAAAAATCTACGGATTACATTTTCGAAAATATTGTGATTTTCTCATAAAATTTAAAAATAGTGTAGATTTTACATGTAATTATAAGATATATCATAATTACATGATAACATGCTCTTTTTTTTTTTTTTTTTGAAAAAGATAACATGCTATTTTTGAGCCCTGAAATGCACCATTCACCCTTTATTATAACCTTTCAAAATCTCAATAAGCTAGTTTCTTTTGTTTTTGTTAGGCATAACTATAATTCTATAACTAAATGTAAAAAAGACCAAAGACTCTCTTGTGTCTACTAATAAACAAAAAAAAAATCAAGTGGAAAGAAAGGAGCATGCGAGCACGTTCGTTAGTTAGGAATGAGGAGAGCACATCATGTCCATAGATCCCTTAAAGCCACCGTTTTCACTTTTTATTCACATTTTACGTTTCCTTAGACGTCCTCTTTTTAAACCATACAAACCAAAGAAGAGAAGATCCAATCCCCATAAACATGGCCAATTCCAAAAGATTGTTTGGCGTTGTAAGGAGGAAACTTCTCCGACGATCTCACAGTAGAATCACAATCATTCGGTCATCAGCTCCAGAAACAACTCAAGAAGAGATTGCCGCCGTTAAAATCCAATCTTTCTTCAGAGGTCACCTGGTAAATTACATTTCTATCTCTTTAGATTTCATAACCTGAAAAAAAAAAGCAAAATTAGTAGAACCATTAATTAAACGTGTTGCAGGCAAGAAGAGCGTTTAAAGCATTGAAGAGTCTGGTGAAGTTACAGGCGGTGGCGAGAGGAGTGCTTGTGAGGAGACAAGCTCGAATTGCTTTACATTGTATGCATGCTCTTGCTCGCTTGCAGGTTAGGGTTCGTGCTCGTCAGCTTCTCTCTCATTAACAACTCTGTTTTTTCCCCTGTTTTTGAAAACAAACAAATACTCTTGTGATTGTTACATTTACATTACTTCACCGGTTTTGTGATTTTGTTGTATATGTACTAGAGCTAACTCTCTAACACCCTGCATTTGTACTAATAAACAAGATCAGTTTAGCTGACACATTCTGTCTCAAAATTGGTAGACAACACAATATGTTATTATAAAAGGATCCATAGATTATTTGAAGCAAAACCCTAGATACAACAGATTTATACTTGGGAAGGAAGCTGATGAAGGAGATACCTTGGAAAGGAAGAAAGGGAAAAAGGCTTCCATGGAGACACACAGTTTTGTCTGGATCACATGACTTGATTTTTTAAGAATCTGAAAGTTATAAGCAAGATTAAAAGAGTTTATTACATCGCCTATAGGTAAATAATACAAGTAAGAAGAAAGAAATTACAAGTACTTGTCTCCATTTCAACACACACATAAAGGTCGATTTACAAGATCACAAAGTCCAAAATAGAGACGAGAGAGTACTGAGATATTGGCGCGGCTCAATCAGATAATCTAGAGAATGCATATGTATGTGTATGTGTGGTAAGGGGAGATCTGAGTGAACCAGGCCAATATCAAAGGGACTCTCTCATGCTTAAGTGATAGATCAAAGGAAAGCAATGTAAAAACGAAAAGAAAAACAGGAAAGAAGTGTTGATGTGAAGTGTGAGGAGGAGAAGTGAGAATGTCTGTGGGGAGTTATAAAGGAGAGGAGGAATTAAATTAGGGTAAGAGAGAAGGAAATGGAAGGTATGGAGCATTTAAACCTCATCTACTACCAAAGCACAAAAGCTGGCCTCACCCTCTTTAATCCTCTTCTCTTCTCTCTTCTCTCTTCTCTCTCTTCATATATTTTTCACATATCCATCGTTCAAAACTAAACTGGCTATGCAATGTGAACCTATACTTCTTTGTCTCCTCCTCTGTCTTTCCTTCTTGAGGAGGTTCACAAACCAAAATTCAAAAAAAAAAAAAAAAAAAGATTTTGAGGAAGAATTAAAAGAACATCGATGAAGATGCTTTGTAATAAATTTTGAGGGAATCTCGCAGAAGAGAGGGGACACTGGCTGGCCTGTCTGCAACATTTAATAGTCTCTTACTGCTTTTTTTTCTAGGCCCCTCTCTCTTTCTTTCTCTGCTTTTTACAAAACCTCAAGCAAGTTATGAACCCTAAAATGACCTCTCACTCTCTCTCTATTGATGATTCTCAAGAGAAAGATTCGAGTTTTAATGTCACATTGTAACCACCAGATGACCAGAGCTTGTTTAAAACCAACACTTTTCTTTTGTCTGGTTAGGACTGGTGGGATGGCAAAAACTTTTGCAACCCTTATTTACTTCCCTCATGCTTACTTCATTAACCCCTCCGGTCCACCATTGCCATAAATTTTATGCAGAGCACACATTATCTCTCTCTCTCTCTCTCTTTCTCTCTACCCAATTATATTTTCTTGACTTATAATATCAAATCATATCATTACTTATTCATTCTTTTTTTTCAAGATTACTTTCTTTTCAAGATTACTGTTTTCGAATAGATTCACCTTATGATTCGTTACCATTGAGTAGCTTAATATCAATGTCACATTTAAAGAACACTATAAGCTACTAATATTAATAGGTAAGAAAAGCTAATAGTGCCCACGTACAGTGAGTAGGTTTCTCTATTGACAAAACCAAAAGGAACAGTAAATTGTCTGCAACGTAAGCTGATTTCAATTGTCTCAATAGTTTTTTTTAAGCTCCTTTGATATAAGCTTCAAATTGGCATCAGAACAAGTAGAACAGGATAAGCTTCTTCTGTTCAATTACACTGGATGACACAGAATCCAGACCCTTGAGAGATAAGCAAGTTTTTAGTACTTCTTTCTAGAGTAAACTGACAAAAACATGCAACATGTATGCTTATGCTAGTGAAACAATGCATATAATGTCGCGATGTTCTAGGACCTGAAACGAGGACAAAGGTATTTGTGATGGATGCTCTGTTCTCATCTATATTAAACACTTGAGCTTTTTAGTGTTAACTGATTCTTGGCTTCATTCACATATTTAGAATATAAATCACTATCAAGCACCTCTGGTATTATGAATGCAATGCAATACAAATACATGACAGAAGAAGAAGAAGGCCTACATTCATATCCATTCATCATCAACAACAAATTACATCGTTACACAAAGTTTGCTGAATAAATAAAAATTAATAATTACTGGAATGAGTTCCAAACGTCAGTAGTGTGTGGCTTTCACGTTAAAATTATACATTCTTATACCAACAAGAGCGACTTTTTTTTTATATAACTACAAAAGATGGGAGCCTAAAAGTGGAGTATCTTAGATTTTCTTGGGGAATGTCATACCACCCCCTCGGATAGAGAGAGAGGGACCTTTCACAGAGCTCACCTGATTGGTATCAAGGAAGATGACTACCACAGTTATGTCATCGTGGAAATGCCTTCTCACTCCTCTCTCTATCTTCTTCAGATCTGAGTATCTCATCTCTCGTTTTTTTGCCGCCTCTTGCAGTGCCATCTTCACCAGTCTCCGTGCAATCCCCTGCATTCATCGCCACAGCAAAGGACAAGAGTCAATATTTGGTTTTGTAATAGTTCTTACTGAAAGTGAAAAAAGGAAGAAATGGATCTCACGCACGTTTCGTGGGTGGTTCTGAACGATGTCAACAGCTTCTTGGTTGCTCAGCTGTTCCCATAGTCCATCAGAAGCGAATATTAGAAACTGATCTTGTGGTTGGATCTCATGCTCAGTTATCGTCGGTTCCCCACTCAAGATCGGTCTTTTGAATGGCTCACGGATTCTGTATTTTGTGTACAATGGTTCCTTGTTGAACTCCGCCTTTTTAAGATACACGTCCCCTATGGATCTAGATACCTGCAAAGGAACAAACATATCTTATCCTTTTCAACTTCAATCTCCAGGGTTTAAATTGACATGGTAAATGAACAAATATATCTAGGCGTTTGCACCTAGTGTTTAGTGTCTACATGCAGTGATAGGGACAAAATACAGATTCAACTGTTATGTCGATTCTAATATATATATCTCAATGACTCAATGTACTGACAATCTGACATACACAAACTGGCTTTTAGATATCACCAATTTCAACTTCAACCAGAGCTCTGACTTTCTCGGGTTGGTGGGTTTGGTATTGGCAATGTCAAAGTCAAGGTTACTACAAATCTAGCCTTTTGAGTATAAAGTCTAATTTAATGCAGAGACCTTATCGCCCGCCATACAGAAAAAAACGTCTTGGTTGATCTTGACATCAGAAAAGTAAGAAAAAACACGTTCTTTTTCGATTACAATTTTAGCGTCTTGGTTTCAAGAAACCAGCAAGAAGTTCAAGGCCAATTAATTCAGATTTTCTCCGGTTTGCCTTATCAGGACAAAGACAACTACATTATCAATTCAACGAGTGATTCACTAAGATACTCATGTACCTGCATAAAAACCGAGTCCTTTGACCCTAAAATCTAATTAAATATCATTCAGATTGAGAAACATACCTGAATAAGTCCCTTAACACGCCACACATTGTGCTTTAACATGACAATATGCGAGTCATCCGGATGCAAGGAGTGCATCTCCTGTCTAACAGACTCTATGCTCACATTATGTTCCGCGGAGAGCTGAAGCGCAATAACCTCACCTGTTGCCTTCATAGCCCTTCCGAGAACTGCACGGGAATCCCCAACATTAGCTATGTAAAGCATCCCTCCGCATATAACACCCACCAAGCAGCAAGACCCAACCGCTGCAATCAGTGGCTTAGTTGGCCACTGCTTTGTCACAACCCCTAAAAAACCTTCTTCTGTCGCCTCATACGCCTTTTTAATTACATCCACCGACATAGCGGCCTCCTCTGCAGCGAATCCTGCAGATTCAAAGAAAATTTTAGTTTCCAAGCAGTTGATTTGTAACCTTGTATGCATATATCATTCAGTATCCTCACTCTTTAGATGCTGAAAAAGGTGATCATTAACAAATCGCGAGGTTTCAGGCCCGCCATGGCCGTCATATATACCAACAAAGGTTCCATAAGGACCAGTGTCAAGAGTACTCAAAGGACCAGACTCAACTTGACTCTGATCCTCAAGCAAGTTATTGGCTTGAACAACAGCCATGGAGAATTCACCAACGAGGTGCTGACCAGAGTCTTTGTACCAAAGTAATCCATCTTGTTTTCCTGTTGAATCAGAGGACTTGCCCGAGGAAGAAGACGGCCACAGACAAGCACTCAAGAGTTTCATTAACGTTGATAACATCCCTCATTTCATCAAGACAACCCTTTTTTTCCTCCACATCCGTCAAAGGGATGCTCAGAAACAAACAAAGTAGCAAACGATATAAGCTTTTAAGAATCTGCAATTCAAAAAAGAGTTAAAAGTAAGGATCTGAACAACAACAACAGTTTTAATAAGCTTGATAGAATCTGAAAACTCTCAACTTGGCTAAGTAAAAATGAAAATCAAAAACCAAACTTTTAACTAAAAAATCTGCAAACCCAATTGGTTAATGGATCAGATGAGCAAGAGGGAATAATTAATTCAACAAGGATCAGAACAAAATCCAAACTTTTTCAAACTCTGAGAAGATTAGTACCTGAGAGATTCTACAGAAGCTGATGTAAACAAGAAGAAGTCACTCGCAGACTTTTCACAAGTCAACAGATACACAACAAATAAATTACAATCAGAAGCAATCTCAATCCAAAACAAAGGATTTGAGGGTTTAGTGATAAGAGAAGAAAAGGTCGACAAATACAGATGGTAGAAGAAAAAAGATGAAGATCTGGAAAATTGATGTAGAGAACGAGAGAGTGATGGATCCGAATCAGATCCAGAAGGAAGAAGTAGCGTCGACCTTCTCTCGGAGACGAAGGCAAAGAGGAAAAGAGAGAAGAGAGAAGAGAGAAGAGAGAAAGGAAAGGGCTCCACTGCTTCTAACCAGACAATCCAATCTCTCAATTACTTACTGGATCAGATTTTCTAAACCTAACCCTTCTTTTTTCCTCTAATTGACTTTTCTTTCCTCTTTTTATTTACCCAAAGGTCCTTTACCTTTCTGAAAATTACAATTTACACCCAATAACTAATCTTATTATCTATTAAACCCGAACTCCGAATTCGACGACTCCTTATAACTTGGAGAAGTACAAAAAAAAAAAGTGTTGCAGATAGATAGATGGATGAAGAGGGAAAGAAAGACAAGTGTTTGTATTGGTAGAGATACAAGAAGATTGATAGTTATAAGAAGAAGATAAATGTGTGAGTGATAAGAAAGAGGGACACGTGATGAAATGAGATTGAGAAAAACGTTAGCTGGCGAAAGAAGACAGACTCATACGTGTGCAAACTCCACCTGCACCTGACCTGCACTTCTTTTCCCGTTTCCTCTTCACTTCTCTCCCATGTGCTTCCCTTTTCCTCTCTTTTTTTTTCTTCCTCCCTCAAAATGATTAGAGAATTTGCTCTATATTTTTTAAATAACAACGGGCCTTTTCTCGTCTAGTTAACATATATTGGGCTTTTAGATAAGTATGGTCGGCCTTTATAACCATTAGGG